CATTTTATAAAAAAAATCAAAAAAATTAGTTGTTTTACTTTTTAGTTTAAAGTTTTGCTATTTTGTTTACTATATATATTATGTTTTCTTTGTTTTTATTTTATCTTTATTTTTATTTTATTTTTGTATTTTATTTTTATTTTTTATTTTTTTCTTTAGTTAAACCAACATAGTACTGATCGCAGACCAATTTTGAATCGTAGTTCAAAGTCATTTGTTAAACAAGACTCTATAGAATCTAAACGCAGTGTAATACTTTAAAGATTTTGTTTATATTAAAGTTTTTTTAAATAATTAATTTTTAAAATTTTGTTTATTGCAGAATTCACTATATCATGATGATTTTCATGAAAAGTTTCCTTCATTTCAAATGGTTTTAGACTTCGTAACAAATGACACTGTGTCACACACAAAGTTTTTAATTTTTTCGTTCTTTTTTTCTTGTTTTTATTTATTCATTATTTTAAATAATCTATTTTTTTTCTCCTGAATATATTTTAATTATTTATTTAGTTAATATAGCTTTTTAATAATGCTTATAGGATCCAGGAACTGTTAAAACACAGATCAAAGTATGCCACCACTATTGCTGATGTTTATTTATTTGCCTCAGATCTTCTCTCCTGCAGTGAAAAAAAAATCCAGGTTTTTTTAATGTTTTATTTTATTTGTCTCATTTTATATAATGATAAAAAGATATATATATATATATATATATATATATATATATATATATATATATATATATATATATATATATATATATATATATATGAAATCAAAGCTAAGCCTGATGTATCACCCTAGGAATTAGGGCTGACCTAACTGCCAAACTAAAAGTGTTTGAGGTCGGTAAAAAATTACCAACCTTGTTTCTATGTTTTATGTTAACCCCTTGGTATCAAATTTATTTTGCCAACCTAATGCTGATCTCTAACAGTTTTTATTTGTTAAGCAGCTTTGTTATTTTTATTATATATGATATTTTTTCTAAACATTTTTACAAAATTAAATTAAAAACCCTTAGTAATTTACATAATACGTTAGCTAAAATTTTGATGATATCAAATTTAAAATGTTTCTTATAATACTGTACAACGAAAAAAAAAAATTTCTGCGGATATCTTGGTATTCAAAAATCAATCTTAGTCAATTTGAGTGTGCTGATTTTGATTATGCAAACCGTTTGCCTCTATCAGCCTCCATTTTTGAAATATCCAGGGTCTTAAATTTTATATTTCAATAAATTACTGCAAAACATAAGAAATATATTTTTTTGCACAAAACTTATTTTTTCAATGTTAATGCTGCATCAATTATATTAGATAAAAATATGAATGTGGCTAGAGCTACCTAAATTCAATATTATATATATATATATATATATATATATATATATATATATATATATATATATATATATATATATATATATACATATATATATATATACATATATATATATATATATATATATATATATATATATATATATATATATATATGTATATATATATATATATATATATATATATACATATATATATATATATATATATATATATATATATATATATATATATATATATATATATATACACATACATATATATATATACACATACATATATATATATATATATATATATATATATATATATATATATATATATATATATATATATATACACATACATATATATATATACACATACATATATATATATATATATATATATATATATATATATATATATATATATATATATATATATATATATATATATATATATATATATATATAGGCCTTGGTAGGAAGAGAGCCGGAAGAGGCCGGAAGTCTTGACAAACAATCCCCTAAAACGGTTTACGGGAGCAATTTATGCCTCTCGCTAAAGTATAACTTTTCTCACAAAAGTATAATTATTGTTAAAACTAAAATAAAAAACATTTAAAAAAATTTTAAATTCATTTAAAAAAAATTTGTTGCATAATATACTGCAATGCTTTTTAAAAACCACGGTTATTGCAAAAAAAAAATTAAAATTAAAAAAGAATGCCAATTTAAATGAGGAGCAGCTTGCACAGCTCCCCAAGTTCGTTTTAGGAAAACTTTTTTCCGCTCTCGTGCTCATTTATTCCCGCCGAGGCCTATTTATATATGTATATTGGTTTATTATATAATTATGTATGTTATATATAAATATAAATATGTATATATATGTATATATATATATAATATATATATATATATATATATATATATATATATATATATATATATATATATACATATATATATATATATATATATATATATATATATATATTTATATTTATATATAACATACATAATTATATAATAAACCAAAATTCAATTTGAAGTGTAATACTGGCATATAATAAAAAATTTGTTACACATGTTCACTGTATAAATTTTTTCACTGTGGACTTTTATACTTCTAAATTTATACTTCTGAGTTAGCAAATCACGCTGAATTGTTCAGCAGTAGTCTGCCAGCTTAGCTGCATTCCACTGACCCTTACAACGTGACTCTATCACTGAAATTTCCTGGTGGAAGTGCTCGCCATGTTCATCACTGACTGCACCAAGATTTCCTGAGAAGAAGTCCAGATGCGAGTTGAGTAAATGAATTTTCTGAGCCAAGATGCTTGTACGCATTAATGCATTTTTGCACAACATTCACATAGTCAACACATTTCTTATTTCCAAGAAAATTGGTTACAACTGATTTGAATGCTACCCATGCATCTTTTTCAATAATATTTAAAATTTCATGAAAGTGTTCATTAGCCATAATTATTTTTTTTTGAGGACCAATGAACACACCTTCTTTTACCTTTGCATAACTTAACCCTAAGAACTTGTTGTAGTTGCGGTAACATATTTTTTCCAGAAGTTGAGACATGTTTTTGTACGTCTCTTTTATGTGGGCAGAATATGCAATTGGTACTGATGCATATCTATTTCCATTGTGCAACAATACTGCCTTTAAACTTTTCTTGGATGATTTGATGAACAGTCGTCATTCTTCAAATATGTGTTCAACTCCTAGACATGACAAAAGACTATCAACATTCGTGTAGAAGTAAATACTGTCACTCATGTCAAAGTACTGAACATGATTTTTCTGCCTGTGACAAAAGTTTGCTGTTATTTTACCTAGTGCAAGCAAATTAAATTTATTCAAGCGAGAACCAAGCAGTTCTGCTTGGGCTTTTGTTAGTGCCAGATCTCTTACTAGGTTGCAAGGTTCAGCATAATTAATCAAATGAATTCCTTCTACGCCAGCTTTGTAGTCAGAGTCTGAGTCGTCGACAGAAAATGAAATATCACTTTCTTCTTGCTTTTCTTTGTCAGTTGTGAATGATGCAGGTGCTGGTGGTATTGGAAAAACCATGGGATCATGTGGAGTTGGTTTCGTAACTGACTGAATGTCTGATTTAAAATCAGCATAAGATATTACTTAAGAAACACTTAATGACATTCAAGATATCTACTGCTTGTTTTTCAGTGTATTAACGTTTATTTATTAAATTTTTTTAATTTATTAACAAATTTGTCTAGTTAATTGCATTAAAATTATTGCTAAATGGTATTGTTTAATAACTTTTCAAATAATATAAAGTTTTATTATAATTGTTTCAAACTAACAACTATAGAATTACACTGTTAATTTAATAAACAATTAAAAGATTCAGTTTTTTCTTTTTTAATTTAAGTAAAATTGTTTTACCTCAATTGAAAAAACTCAATTAAAATATGTTTACAGCAATGTTTATAACATGTATAAATTTTTTAACAATACATTACTATTTAATATTCAATATTACTGTTTAATTAAAAAAGTTTTGTCTTCAACAAAAACTTTTTTTAAAAAATATTTTATGTAAAGCTAAATAAATAATCATAGTTTTCTCCTTACATTTTAATTAAAATTTTAATTTGCTTAAACTCTTTAACTGCACATCTTTGGTTTTTAGAAATATTGCTTTTAACTTCAAAATTTAATTTAATAATTCAGTTATTTCCACATTAATTTTTTAGTATATTTTTTTCTCTATTTTAAAATCTCTAATTTAATAGCAGATTCTTTTGTTGATGTTACATTATCAATAAATAGTATTTAATTTTTTGTTTAAATGAATTTTGGACCTGGATTAAATAATTTTGGACCTGAATTAGATAATTTTACTTGTTCAACTGTATTTGATTTAGTTAATATATTGTTACAGTTTTAACAAGTTTTTTAGATTTATACTATTAACAATAATATAATTTTTATTTTTTCCTATTTTTAGTATTAATAAGTCAAATTAAAACAAAATAAATTTTTTTAAATTCTTTTAAATTCATTTTTCCAGTTACATGCTCATAATAATCATATCATTAGGTTTCACAGTCGTTTTAATTGATTTTGATTGTTCAAATATTACTTCTCTACTTTTGTAAAACTTCTCGTTCAACCATAAGATCGTAGCCTAGTTTTTATTGGACGATGAATCTTGAATGATTTAGATATAACATTATACTTTATGCATATTTCTAAAAATATTCGTTGGTTTTTACTTGATGCATTCTTTATTATTTGATTTTTTAATAGAATTTTGTTCTTATATAGTTATCGACCATTGGAAGAAATAATCTAATATTTTAATGACATACTAGTAATATGAGAATATTTATATACAAAAATGAAAAAGAACATTTACAGTGACATACTATTTATTAACCTTATTAAAGTTTTATTAATTTTATTAGTAGTATTTGCAGATATCTAAAAAATATGCAATTATCTAAGAAATTAAGTTGACCTGGATTATTTTGGTACTCACATGTGTATTGGATAGTCTGGTCTTGAGAATTTAAAGTGTCAAAAAAGATTCTGTTTTATCAAAGTAAGAAAAATATGATGGCAACATATTGTTTAAAGGTTATAGGTACAACCTGTTGAAGGTTTTTTATGATATTGATTCAATATTGCAAATATTGGTATTTCTAAAGAATGGCTCTATATGAAATATTGCTCTTAAAATTAATACAATTTAACAAGTTAAATAAATAGTGTGTAGATGATGTATTTTCATTTATATATATATATATTATATATATATATATATATATATATATATATATATATATATATAGAGGTTTGGACAGGAATGGTGTGCGATCGAGCACTATTGTTGACCACGCAATTAGTTTTATTTTTTGACAACTTGACCACTATTGTTTGTATGTTTTGATGATTTAAACATTTCAGAAATGTGCTGAATGAAGAAACACTAAGCTAAACTTAAACTAGAAAAAAAAGTTAAAAAAAAAAATTCCTAACAAAAAAAGAAAAAAAAAAATAGTTATTACGAAAAAGAAATTATATAAGCTCTAAAATAAAATAAAAAATTTAACCCGAAGCGAAACATTTTGTTACGTATTTAATTGAAATAAATTTTATTAAAATTTTGTTAAACGTTTTATTAAAGTGCAAAACGCTTTTAAATTAAATAAATTACTTTTAATGATTGTTTAATAAATGATCAAATTTTACCAAATTTATTAAAAAGTGTTGTATATAATGTTGTATGTAATTTATTAAAAAGTGTAGTATATAATGTTGTATGTAATTTATTAAAAAGTATTGTATATAATGTTGTATGTAATTTTTAATAAATTCAAGCTTTAATTAGTAAGTTTAGTTAAAAAAAAGGTTTTAACTTTTTTTATAGGGGAAAAAAAATAAATAACAATGCGCCTGCGATTTAAATAAAATAAACTGTCAACAAGCAATTTGATTTGAGCACAACTTTGTTAATAAGCACTTCACGTAACGAATTTAAAAGTTATAAAAAATTTAAACTCATTTATAGGAACAAAAATTATATTCAGGGAGGGGGGGCTGCTCCTCCTGGTTGCTACTGGCCTGCATACTTACATACATACATACACCCATTGGTATGCCAAGCATTTAAAGTTGGTATACATATTGGTATGTCATGCAAAAACAAAATGTTGAAAAAAGTTTCATTTTTAAAAAAATATTTACTTATAAATGAATGACTCTGATTAAACAATTTTCAAAAATCTTTTCAAATGGTTGCTCAAAATGTCTAACTCAAAATGAAATTATCTACATCATAAATTTTGAATGGATATCTAGTACTTTTTATGTAGTTAAAAAAATTCATATGCAAAATGCAATGAAATTATTGTATAGGTTCTCTAATTTAGTCCACCATTTATCAAAATGAAACCACCAAAAAGTTATAAAGTCCTATTATTGCTGGAATAGACTAATTAACATTATTTTAAGTCATTATCTTCACATAATATCATCAGTAATTATAAACAAACAGAATACTTGTATTAAAGATGGTTGGGATTTTTTAAGGAAAATCCTAAAAAAATAGATTCATATTGTATCTTAATAATATGTGACATTGGCAAGTGTTTGAAAAATTTGGTGAAATTTTTTTCAATATATTAAGTCAAAAATGTTGAACAGTTTTATGTTAGATATTTTCATTACCCTGATATTGTTACATTTCTATCTCTGATTTTATTAAAACTACATTTAGTGGAACTAAAATTATGGTTTAAAGTCCTGATATTGTTATACAAAAATCATTTCATAACACAAAATTTTTATTTTTTACCAGCACTAAATCTAAAGAAGATTTTTATTGTTTGATTTTCTTTTGGTATTGTTTTGATCTTCTAACTTAATATTGTTTTGATCTTCTTTTGGTATTGTTTTGATCTTCTAACTTAATATTGTTTTGATCTTCTTTTGGTATTGTTTTGATCTTCTTTTGGTATTGTTTTGATCTTCTAACTTAATATTGTTTTGATTTTCTTTTGGTATTGTTTTGATCTTCTAACTTAATATTGTTTTGATCTTCTTTTGGTATTGTTTTGATCTTCTTTTGGTATTGTTTTGATCTTCTAACTTAATATTGTTTTGATTTTCTTTTGGTATTGTTTTGATCTTCTAACTTAATATTGTTTTGATCTTCTTTTGGTATTGTTTTGATCTTCTTTTGGTATTGTTTTGATCTTCTAACTTAATATTGTTTTGATTTTCTTTTGGTATTGTTTTGATCTTCTAACTTAATATTGTTTTGATTTTCTTTTGGTATTGTTTTGATCTTCTTTTGGTATTGTTTTGATCTTCTTTTGGTATTGTTTTGATCTTCTAACTTAATATTGTTTTGATTTTCTTTTGGTATTGTTTTGATCTTCTAACTTAATATTGTTTTGATTTTCTTTTGGTATTGTTTTGATCTTCTTTTGGTATTGTTTTGATCTTCTTTTGGTATTGTTTTGATCTTCTAACTTAATATTGTTTTGATTTTCTTTTGGTATTGTTTTGATCTTCTAACTTAATATTGTTTTGATCTTCTTTTGGTATTGTTTTGATCTTCTAACTTAATATTGTTAAAATAATCTTAAAAAACTTAAATAAGTCTTTTTTTTAGTTT